CAAATTATAATGCGAAAACATAAATGTTAGATGAAATAGCTTAAATCTCATAACATTATACATTTATATATATTAATTATTTTTATTATATTGTCCTTTCACCCGTGCCTGGCTAACAATACAGAAGTTACAATGACACAGCTCATGTGCACTCATATTACTGTATCAAATAACATAAAACTGACCTTTGGTCTATACAAAGTAACTTGTCTTGGCTGTGTTTTAGTCGACTAGTATTTTGTAAAATACAGTCACATTCCAATTATTATGCATTATTTGTGTATATAGAATATTGCTATTTTGAAATTAGTTCTTAAACACATTTTTCCTAAAACATAGAAGAGTAAATATAGAAGTAAAGCAAACAATTATTTCTTCTAGTTACGATCTTTGTACTCGGTTGCTGCTTGACTTAAGTTGCTAAGCCTTTAAACATTTTGCACATGGAGGATATGAAACAAAATATTTTTAGGTTTTATATATACATTTGAATAACTAAAAAATCATAAATTACTACATCAGTACCATAGAATTCAACTATAATTTATCAAGCTTAGTAACTAAGATGTATTTTACTCTAAAAAAATATGAAATTTTCGAGCAGACTAAAGACACAACCTTCCTCATTGAAATCTTGGTTCAAAAGAAAGAAATGGCACCAAGTCCTTTAAAATGGCAAAGAAAGCCACAGGGAGACATTTTGAGCTTCTGATTAGTTATTCATGTCATATATAGAAGTAAGTGTATATAAGGGAGCATTTCTAAAAATGGAAAAAAGGTGTTTGATTTATTACATGAACAATATCTTAACAAATTGAAAAGATAAGAGGCTCTTATTTTATATTCTAGCTTGTCAATATCAGTAATTTGAGTTTCTGATTTGTTCTAAACTACAGATTTAGTATTTTGACTTCACAAACATGTAATTTGAATCAGTACTGCATTCAACATACCACGTGACACACAAAAATCAATGTTTATCAATGTTTTTAATATTTGCTTTTAAATTAAAAATTGAGTAATATATAGTACTAAAATTTGAATTATAATCTACAGTTTGAT